AGCTCCAGACACTGTTCGGCTAGCGTCCACGGCTTGTCGAAGGTGTGCGTTAGGAAATTTAATGTTTGGAAAAAGAATATTTTCTTTCGATATTTCATTCTGTACCGTTCAATGTGTAGAATTTCAGATATTATGATAACTTTAACAATACCACTCTACAAGCAGCATTGAGTGTCATAAAGAGGCTGGATACCTAACTAATGAGAGTGAGTGAGTGAGTATGGTTTTACGCCGCTTTTAGCAATATCCCAGCAATATCACGGCGGGGAACACCAGAAATGGGCTTCACACATTGTACCCATGTCGGGAATCGAACCCGGGTCTTCGGCGTGACGAGCGAATAACTAATGAGAAATAGTATAGATGATAAGCTTCTTCATTGTGGAAATGAAAAAGCAGACTCACTGGCGAAGCTAGCTCTAGACAAAGCGGGTATACAGCCTATTCCCTTTAGTAAACTAGAGATAACAAGTAAAATCAAAGCCTCTATAGCAGAAAGATGGCAAGCCCAATGGCACGCATGTAAGAGCGGCGGATGGCTATACAAAATTCAACCCAAGGTCCAACAAAAGCCAAACTCATACTCAAATGAAAGGGAAATTGAAATTGCTATCTCACGCCTCAGACTCGGTCACAAAAAGCACCATGACAAGGTTTGTTCATGTTGCAATCAGGCCGAAACCATTGCTCACGTGTTACTAGAATGTCAAGACCATGCCCCAGACCGGGCTAGGTTAAAACAAGAATTGCAGTTAGATCCGCTATCTGCCATAGATCTCCTACAGCCAAGAGATGCAATAGCGAAGGCCAAACTAACTCTATTTCTGAGAGATGGACAGCTACTCGAACGTATATAAACAGAGCAGCCAAGGATAAAAATGAAATCATATCAATATAAGAAAATAGAAATCATATCAATACAAAAACAGAAATGATGTGAATACCAAACTCACTAAAGATATGTGTACCCTACTCACACACAGGAGTCCCAAAGAGGGACAGGACAGCCGAAATTGCTTAGGCAGAAGGCGACCTCTTAAACACTTAATGCAACAACAACAACTTCTTCATCACCCATTGCAGCGATAGTTGATGGACATTCTAGCAGCATTACCAGAGATTTATCAGTGGTCCGCCATAATAATCTAATATATTATATTTATGGACCGCATTGCCAAGCCAAACTTGCCCCCGTTGTAGTGAATATACAAAAATACTCATGTTGTCAACAGCTGGTCAGATTCCACGAAACTTGCTAATTGAAATATAGAAACACAATCCCAATAACATCAGAGCCTATTCTTTTCTAGACTAAAATCTAGTCTCTAAAATGAACATATCGTACATAAAAAAAACAGTTGTTCAGTTATCTTAATAAAAATATAATAAAAAGGAGCCCAGTCCTGATACTGCAGTGATCTAGACTTGCCAAACATTATAGACTTGCATGGGCTGTATTTGATATATATTTGTATCAGGGTCTGTAAGACAGACTAATTCTTTTCCGGCATAATGGCCTCTAACGATATTCTCCTTACCAGAAGCGCGGCTGTCACGCGCTGCAGTGGAGCCTTCCTTCTATAGACTGGTTCCTGGTTGTATTTGCTATGCGACACTCTTATAATGCGGATTCCTTCCTTTCGCGATCTACCTTCTTGCGGGGATTCTGGAAGAGGAATGGTCCCCAGTACCTCGTGATTGTGGGAAGTGGGGATCAGATGGCCAGTCTCTGTCTGCACGTAACTTGGCTGTGCATGTAACCGTACCTCGTGATTGTAAGAAGTGGGGATCGGTTGGTCAGCTTCTGTCTGCACGTGAATTGACTGACTGCATGTAACGGAACTGAGTGATTGTAAGAAGTGGGGATCGGTTGGCCAGCCTCTGTCTGCACGTGAATTGACTGACTGCATGTAACCGACCTTAGTGATTGTAAGAAGTGGGGATCGGTTGGCCAGCCTCTGTCTGCATGTGAATTGACTGACTGCATGTAACCGAACTTAGTGATTGTAAGAAGTGGGGATCGGTTGGTCAGCCTCTGTCTGCAGGTGACTTGACTGACTGCATGTAACCGAACTTAGTGATTGTAAGAAGTGGGGATCGGCTGGCCAGCCTCTGTCTGCACGTGAATTGACTGACTGCATGTAACCGAACTTAGTGATTGTAAGAAGTGGAGATCAGTTGGCCAGTCTCTGTCTGCACGTGACCTGACTGTGCATGTAACCGTACCTCGTGATTGTAAGATGTGGGGATCGGTTGGTCAGCCTCTGTCTGCACGTGAATTGACTGACTGCATGTAACCGTACCTCGTGATTGTAAGAAGTGGGGATTGGTTGGTCAGCCTCTGTCTGCACGTGACTTGACTGTGCATGTTACCGAACCTCGTGATTGTAAGATGTGGGGATCGGTTGGTCAGCCTCTGTCTGCGCGTGACTTGACTGTCTGCATGTAACCTCGTGGTTCGTCCCTCATGCTCTCAGTGCGTCATTGCAAAAGACGTTTAAAGATGGTACTTGTTGTTACCCTGCCTGGCGCTCGGCATTAAGGTGTAAAACAAGGACTGGTCGGCTCGGAGTTAGTACACTGTCTCTGAGTGGGGTATTCATGTTAAACTGCGTCGTGGTATCTCAGTGGGCGAGCACTATAAAATCGGCTTTAGTCCGGACCAGTACAAGCAACCACACACAAACACACACGTGCAAGCACGTCGCTAAATAACTGCAATAATCTTAATTGAACGCGATTTAAAACCCCATTTCACCTCACCTCACCTCATGCTCTCAGTATAATTGGTTGACTGGCTTGTTTACACTAAACGCGGCTAAGCTAGAATATTGCTGTCACAAGCAGTGGAAAACAACACTCACTCACACGTTCAACCTGTTCACGATCTGTTTCGATGAAGACAATGTTACACATGGACGGTCTAGTGGCCATTTTAGATCCATTTTTAATTTGTGGCATGTTTGAAATTCAGACATTGTCTATGTGTATCAACTGTGTACAGATAAGATCGACTTTATTATCCCGAAGTATCTTTTTCTCGCAACGTAAGAATCTCAGAAGCAAAATAAACAAACACATGATTGTTTGTTTGTTGTTAATGCCGAACTCATCTATATTCCAGCTATTAGACGGCGGTCTGTAAATAATCGAGTCTGGACCAGACAATCCAGTGATGGACACCATGAACATCGATCCACGCAACTGGGATACGATGACATGCATCAACCAAGTCAGCGAGCCTGACCACCCTATCCCGCTAGTCGCCTCTTACGACAAGCATAGTCACTTTTTACGGTAAAAATTGGTTGCTGAAGACCTATTCTACCCTGGATCTTCATGGGTCAAAAACACATGAATAATACAATACATAACAGATATATGTCACAATTATTTTTAAAAAACAACAACATTTGTACCATATATTTGATGGGAAGATTAATAATGCTTCAGCTGTACATGTAATGATTATCGGTATGAGAAGACTGGCGGAACTTGTCAGCTTCGTTTTCGGCACAAGCAGCCGAAGTCTAGTTTGTCGAGTATACTCAAAGACGTGTATGTCTATTTATCATATAATGGGTAGGTTTCTCGGCAGGATAAAGCCAACGGATAAAAACGATATCCGTTGGGGTCATATGCGGAGAGAGATGCAAATATCAACGATCAAGTAGGGACTACTTTCACTGTTTATAAACAAACATGGCGTCACCCTCGTTATTCGGCGATCGAGTCAGAATTAACCATCGTGAATCTGGATAAACTACAGGGATAATTGCTATCATTATCAAAAGAACAGTCTAATATACTGAAATTCCGTGTCTAACTGTGACGTAGCTAAGGCATTTTATAAGTTTTGGCAACTTTGGAGATATGAATTTCGAAACAATTTTGCGAGGGCACGAGGCCTAGCCAAGCGGGATCAGTACCCATATCTGTGCTTGTAGTCCTCTGCGGCTTGAAACCTTCTCCAGAAATTAAAATAGTTGGATTTGGCCGAAATGTGTTTGAATTGTTTACCTTGTTTCGTTTGGTCGCTGTGTGTACATCTGACTACACTTCTTAACGTTATGACAGGACAGACCGACTGTCACCAACGTCTGACCGTGGCCGTGACGTCTCATAGACTAGGGTTAGAGTAGCTTCCCTTGACAAAGGGCAGTTACTCTAGCGGACTGACCGATGGATTGCCGCGAAAGGCAATTAGAAACAATTGTTGTTTTGCGTATTATATATGTTGCTTCGCCACTGCATAAGCAACAGATTTCAGTTGGCACTATATTGGCAACTGTCACTGTCCGACTGACATATCACTTACCCTATGACGTAATAAATATTAATGCGCGCATTCCAGGAAAACTCGCAATGTTTCGGTAATGTTTGTGAGAGAGGGAAAGCGATTTTGAAGCACAGAATTAAAGAATGACATTATATGATAAAGAGGTTATCACGCTTGTGTGTTTGGGGATGGTAAATATCCTAGGAATAAACACTATGTATTTAGCTCGTCAAGGCTCGCTAAATACAATGTTTATTCCTAATGCAGGATATTTACCATCCCCAAACACACTCGCGTGATAACCTCTATATACATATTTGATATACTATACGTTCCTTTAATTCGAATGTAGGCTGATCATCACGATATGGCTGAAATATTGCCGATGTGACGTTAAATCTATTTTTTTAACTCGCTCACGTAGGACAGAGACCATATGATATATATGGTCTCTGCGTAAGGTGATGAAAATGCCAGTCCATTCTGATCACCTTCAGCCTTCTATGATCTAACCATGGTCTGATAAAATCGACATAGGATTCGGGGGATCATCGTCAATGAAGGTTTACTTTTACGTTACATATTGTGACATAAATGCTAGTCGTTTCTGCGTAGTTATTTTATGCTAGAGAGTAGAGACACAATCGCGTGTACAAAAATGTAACTAAACAGTACTGTGACAATCTATCGCGCTGCAGGGAGTTTGAGAGGTCATCACACGGCATTGACCTTTACCGGAAGTCGTTGTTGTTGACTGACAGAAATGGCGTAGTGTTTTTCTCTCTGTTGGTGAAGAAATATCGGACAATAGCTGTTCTCATGTGACGAAATTGTTGATAACTGCAACAGAGGACACCTCGTTTATGTTCTGCTATTCCCACGTATCAAAATGTCAGAAGATTCTAGCGTAGCGCCAGGAGCAGATGTGCGAATATGTAGGCGAATTGACAGACCCGTGACTCCAGAACTTGTGCATCAAGTGCAGGCACTGCCTCCTCAACTAAGTGTAGAGACTGATAGCTCAAGCTCCCGTTCTTCCACACCCGGGGAAGATAGTTCACAAGCATCTTTGCCAAGGCCTGTGCGGTCAAGGATCATGCCCGAATCATCTGAGAGAGACATCGAACTGTCGACAGCTCGTCCAGTAAAGGCCGAAACGTTTTGTGATTGTTTGCGGTTAGGAAAGGAAAAGGATTGCCGATGTGGAGAGGACGATCGCTGTAGGTCTTTCGTTAAGTTTTTTAGCTGGCTTTGTGGTACACGTGTTAAGTAGACAAAGTTCAGAATATATCAGATCACTGAGAAAAGAGCATAGTTGTAAAATGTCAGGGCAAGTACTTGTTTTTGTATTTTTTATTGCTGTGATCAACATGATTATGTACAATGAGTTAGGCTAGTTTATTTTACATTTTACAGGTTATTATTATTTTTTTATCACAATATATCCTGCTTGGTCATTTGGAGTCAATATTTACTATAGATCTTTGTGTATCATTTAGCCTAGCATGTTAGTCAGTATGCAGATGACATGCCGTGGCCCACAATAGTCCAGTAAAATCCTGTTTGGTATAATAATCATGATAAGCTCAACTATTAATAGTCCCTATAATCTGAAAATGGTCTCAATAATCTGTGAACGATGCTTTAGAGCCAGGTTTAGGCCAGTAGACTCCAATGTTTTGGACACAGACTGGATGTGTGCCATGTATCATGATGAATATTTATTGCATATTTGAGAAGTCAATATGCATGTTATAATAGTGATGGATGTTGTGTACCATATTATTGCTGAAATTAATCATCAGTGTCCCAAGGCCATGAATTTAAAATATTAACATCGATATACTTGATAAACAAAATAATTTATGATCCACATCAATCTGTACTGAAATGAATAGGTTCACAATTGCAGTCTTCTACCTCAGCCAATTATCCTGTCTATGAGTTTATGAAATTGTGCTTGGCATGTTTCGTATAGTGTGCAAAGTAATTCATATGTTAGCGCTACAATTTTGAATGAGATATGCTATTTGGCTTATATATTTCTTGGTGTAAAAACATTAACAATTTGTGTTTACTTTTACATTGTTTACAGTGATATAGGTTAAGACAGATCCTGTTTCCAGTCACGACTTGATAGTGGAAGTGCAGGTCACTCATATACAGTAGAATCTGTCCCCATCAGATTTCAGTTAAAACTGAAGTTCCAGCATTAGAAATTGGCACTAGTCCTGTAGTCCTTACCAAACTGCCCAATAGTAAAGGTATCCTAAGGACCAGTAGAAATTGGCCCATTTTAAGGGTTTTGCTATATGTTATCATTATAAGGACTAGTGGACAAAAACTTAGTTTCTAACCATGTGAACTTTTTCTCCGGTCACCTCAGTTCCTTAATAAATTATCAATACTCAGAGCTCCAGATAAGCTTTTGTTTTTGTGGGTATTTTACCCATGCATTTAAAAATCATTGGGTATCAGTAGTTCTATCTGGGTATTCAAATTTCTGTTACGCACTAGTTTTTACACATGTGGGTATTTAAGTTAAATAATTAAAAACACTATTCATCTAGGCCCTGCAAACTGGTTTCGTGTGGGTTCGAGAGCTTTATAGGACTCAAAATACCACGATACTTCCACAAGAAAGTGTGATCATGGTGATGGCAAATGATCATTATGTAACTGTCAACGTGGACTTTGGCAAGGTTGACGGAATGCCCGTTTATAATTTCAAAATAAGTTGCTGATTTGCTAATCGAATACGCAGGGTTACTTCACAATATTTTGATGATGCGCACAAGTTTTATTTTGTAACGTATCTGTAATGTTCGTTGCGTATTTGATACACTTTGATTTGATTTTACTGCGTATTTCTGCATTCTGATGTGTATTTTACGCAGATACGCAGCTTATCTGGAGCTCTGATTACTCAAACTGACCTACAACTCTCCAATTCAGACTATTACACTTTGGACTCCTGACTAAAATTTCAGTCCCATCAACCAATTTAATATTGACTAGAAGCTGTCCAAATCAGACTGGACCAAACCGGATCGGATCGGATGTCACTAAATAATAGTAAACACAGCTTGTCATTATCAATCACGCCCACTTACACTCCCAGTTACGTGGATGGCCAATTGGAAGGCTTGGATGAATTATCAGCTTTTTTTCTGATTGGCTAAGCGACTTGACCAGAAGGATGAGTGGACAGAGAAGGAAAATTCTGCTGTTATGATAATGCTTCAGGGGGCATGGGTGGCCCAGTGGTCTAAGGCACCGCGATTCGCTGTGCAGAGTTGCGTCCCTTGGACACACCAGAAACCTATGATTGTGGGTTCGCCCTTGATTATGTTTGTAGGTTTGTCAGCACCATAACCGTGCTCTTGGGTTTCACCGAAGTAGTAAACGTCTAAGACCTGCATCACTTCAGGCTTTCCTCCCACATTAAGCTGACACGCCGCGATATAACTGGAATACTATTAAAAGCGGCGTTAACCCCAACTCACGCACACTATAATGCTCCATCTTATCCAAACATCGTATTGAGTTACTAGAGTGTTCAACACATGGTATCATAAGCTGCTGTTGTAATCACTTGTTTCTCGAATGGACTCTGTGTAATCCGGACCTTGCCATAAATTAGACATTTGAACCGGTCCCAACCAAGTCCGAATTATGCTACTGTGGATGACAGGTGTTAATTGACATTGTTATACCTTTATTAAGAGTCTTGCAATTCCATTGGCGGATCCGTAGCACGTGGCAAAATAATACATTTCAATGTAGACCCCGAAATCATGTGACTGACACTGACCTCGGATATTGACTCATCACATGATCACGTGATGAATATTGACTCGTCTGCTAGACAACAAGATGATGTCAGGGGTGACCATTCCTCGGTTCACAGTTAAGTTAGTGTAATGAAACAGAGGACGGTTTAAAGACTTTATACTTAAAAGTGAACTTCGGTATGACAAAACGAATGACCACCACAGGGGTCGGGTCCTTGTTTTCGTATATTGACCTCGTCAAGAGTAATTATTTGTATACTATGTCTAAATATCAATGTAATTTATTGTGATCTTATTGATCAGAGTGATTCTTTGTTTTGATTTTTACAGCTTTACAAAATATTATATGACCTTGAGAAGTGTTCTTAGGTGTTCTTTAATATCGATGTCTTTCTTGGCCATTTAGTGATAGATTACCAGTGGTCCCGTTTACCGCTAATTACCAGTGTTTTACCGGTAAAATTAGGCTTGGAGCGGTAATTCATGTGACTGCCAGTCACTGTGGACCGGCAAATAAAGTACCTTATTAATCTTTGTTGTTGAATATAACATTGGCGATATTCATATAAGTATATATTTCGAACGGAGTCAGCTTGTCTGTTACCATCAGGGTTTCCCCTTGTCTATTGTTAGTGCAAGGAAATAACATTTTGCTTTTCTTTGAGATTTCTCGAAATATTAAAAAAGAAGAAGGGAGAATTGTGAACTTTGTGTGAATGACATGTAGGTCTAACTAAGTTACTTCAGAGATGAACATGATGTTGAAGGAATTATGACCAGGTCATTTTCATACATTTGTTGAAGTTGGGACTGACGGAAATTAGGGGGGACTGGTTGCCAGGCTACCAGGACTGGCAGTGTTAGAAGCCAGCGGGAACACTGGATGATAAGATGGAAGGAAGACGTAACATGCTAAACACAGGTTGATCAGTAATCATTTGTCTCAGTGACTACCAATAAGGATCTCTGTGGCTGTCAGAATAAATTGCATTTCTATCTTTAAAAATGTAATTTATCCCCTGTCAGCCACCGGGTACTCAAAATACTATTTGTGTGTGCTCTTGAGAATAAGTGTCCCAATGAGAAGAATACTTCTCACACAAAAAACAGGAACAGGTGTTTGTCCAGTTTACTTGAGCGAACATTTATCGCTGGCTTCATAGAATAAACATCATCACCAAGTATCGTAACTAAGAATGAAATTTCTAAGTGTATCCCTTAGGCACCAGGAACTTAGTTTTAGTTTGAGGAATATTGCTAAAAGCAGCGTAAAACCGTACTCACTATTTTTATTGTGCTATTATGAATATAAATGTGTCATTGGAACTCGAATGCAAGAAGTTCGTACCCTGTGATATTATGTGAGTTTGGACAGTAATCCATTGAGGTCTTGTAGAAATCTTTCCCCTTTTTGTAATTTAACAGTAGTTCAAGAGTAGAAACTTCATCCAGACTGATGTGACTTATAAATATTATGTCCCATTGGTACTCGGGTAGAATAGGTCTTCAGCAACCCATGCTTGCCGGACAAGGCGACTATGATTGTCGTAAGAGGCGACTAAAGGGATCGGGTGGTCAGGATCGTTGACATGGTTGATGCATGTCATCATATCCCAATTGTGACGATCGATGCTGATGATGTCAATCACTGGATTGTCTGGTTCAGACTTGATTATTTACACACCACCGTCATATAGCTGGAATATTGCTGAGTGCTAAGTTAAGCTACAAACAAAGAAACAAATCAGGTGGAATGTGAAGGTTGCTAACTGGTCATGCTATTAAAGTCAAGATTAGCTATTGCAAACCTCACTGTGCACACTTTTTGTTTTAGGTTTCTTTTTTGCTGGAAAAGAATTGACCTAGCATGTGTGTCTTTGTTTAAGAATTGTGGTGCTTTTTCAGATTTTGAATGGAACTGGGACGATGACTCCAAGTCCTCGGCCACGATTCTCCGTGCCGACAAGAGGGAGGTGGTGTTCCACACGGACTACAGCTGTGGTACAGCAGCAGTTCGAGGGTCACAGTCTATGAAAGATGAACAGTATTTCTGGGAGGTCAAGATGACAACACCAGTCTATGGAACAGACATGGTGAGACCTTCGGCAATGCCAATATAGGGGAGATGATATGTCTCACTGTTGATGATATGTCTCGCTGTTGTCTATATGTCTCGTTGTTGACGATATGTCTCGCTGTTGATTATATGCCTCGCTGTTGATGATATGTCTCGCTGTTGATGATATGTCTTGCTGTTGATATGTGTCGCTGTTGATGACCAGTCTCGCTGTTCATCATATGTCTCGCTGTTGATATGTCTTGCTGTTGATGATATGTCTCGCTGTTCATCATATGTCTCGCTGTTGATGTTATGTCTCGCTGTTGATGATATGTCAAGCTGTTGATGTTATGTCTCGCTGTTGATATGTCCAGCTGTTAATGTTATGTCTTGCTGTTGATGGTATGTCTCGCTGTTGGTGATATGTCCAGCTGTTGATGTTATGTCTCGCTGTTGATGATATGTCTCACTGTTGATGATATGTCTCGCTGTTGATGATATATCCAGCTGTTGATGTTATGTCTCGCTGTTGATGATATGTCCAGCTGTTGATGTTATGTCTCGCTGTTGATGTTATGTCTTGCTGTTGATATGTCCAGCTGTTGATATGTGTCGCTGTTGATGACCAGTCTCGCTGTTGATGACCAGTCTCGCTGTTAATGATATGTCTCGCTGTTGATGAACTGCCTCGCTGTTGATGTTATGTCTCGCTGTTGATGTTATGTCTAGCTGTTGATGATATGTCAAGCTGTTGATGTTATGTCTCGCTGTTGATGATATGTCTCGCTGTTGATGATATGTCCAGCTGTTGATGATATGTCCAGCTGTTGATGATATGTCTCGCTGTTGATGATATGTCTTGCTGTTGATATGTCCCGCTGTTGATGATATGTGTCACAGTTGATGTTATGCATCACTGTTGATGTGATGATATTTGAATACTGATCAAAGTTATGCATTACGACCCACTCACTCACTCACTCACTCACTCACTCACTCACTCACTCCACAACATTAATTCACTGGAACAGATAATTATTAACACTTCGTAAGTCTCTAATTCCCATATTGACATCATGTTCAATTCCAGAGTGGGCACGGGTGGCCCAGTCGTCTGAGGTGCCGCGATTCACAGTGCAAAGTTGAGTCCCTTGGGCATGCCAGAAACCTATGATTGTGGGTTCTAATTCAGGTTCACCCCGATTCTGTTTCTAGGTTTGTCAGCACCATACCCGTGCTCGTGGGTTTCACCAAAGTGGTAAATGTCTTGAGACCTGCATCACTTGGGGCTTTCTTCCCACATTAAGCTGACAGGCTGTGATATAATTGGAATACTGTTCAAAGCGGCATTAAACCGAACTCACTCACTAACTCACTCATTTCCAGATGGTGGGTGTCGGGACGCAGCACACGGACCTGGACAAGTACAAACATATATTCTGCAGTCTGATTGGTCGGGACGGTGAGAGCTGGGGTCTCTCGTACTGCGGCAGCTTACATCACAAGAGTCTGAAGAAAGCCTACGCATCTAAGTTTGGCCAGGGGTCCATCATTGGCGTGCATCTCGATATGTGGCATGGGATGTTGTCTTTCTACAAGAACAGAAAACCTTTAGGTAAGACTAGGTTGAGTGTGAACATCTTCCTGAGGCAAGGAACTTAACTGACTGTAAAAGTCCAGTTTCCACCCTTTCCGAATTAGGCTGGAATTCCGGAATTTTGGCTGGACCAATGAGTCTTTGCACAGGCCAAGCACAGCCATCTAGACATCCGGTTTGTAAACAACATGGATTTCAACGTGCAGATTTCAGTTGACTGCAGGATTTGCAAAACATGTGTGCCGTCAACTGGGCGTGACAGATATTTCGCAAATCTTTTCATGTTTTAATCAAGGTGCTCAAGTGATATGATGCACTTTGCGGGGTAGGATCCGTTTTATTACAATATAGATCTTGATTGTTGATCAGATCATCTTGACAGGGCACTGCCATTCAAGAACTTGTTAGCCTGGTTGGAGGCTGTTCAAAAGAACTATTCTTGTATTAGGTGTTGTCATTTTATTAACATCAAGTAATTAATAATGATTATGAAAGGTAGTTGTTTTTTTGTTGAACTGAATGTTTTTGTACATGCAGATCCTATTTTCCACAATTTTTAAGCTTTTCCTTTCTCACACTGTGCATTTCTTCCTTCTTTCGATCCTATGTGGAAACATGCTTGAACAAAGTTTCCAGCTTCTAAAAACAAATCACCCGAACATCCCAGCATCACCATGGTCACCACCCAAACTGTGTAATCCCATGCATATCGACCGACACGACCTGATCATGTGATTACCTCAGCCACATCATTCTCTTTCTTTGAACTACAAGCCTAGAGGAGCTGTGATGCAGGGATGGTCGGGAGAGTATATACCGTGTGAGATAGGGAACTAGACTTGTTATATTATCTTTACCCATTTCACCGGAAACACAGTAAGAATATTGCAATAGGTACCATTTGTATAGTGCATTGCAGTATACCAGTAATAATATGCAATCATATTAAGATTGATTCTTGAACATCTTCAATAATGTCTGTTTCAGGAGTGGCATTTAGAGGGCTTCAAGGAAAAACACTGTTTCCGATGGTATCGTCTACAGCTGCCCGTAGTGGCATGAAAGTCGTCACATGTCGCTCATTCCGGACATCGCTCCAGTTCATGTGTTGCCAGGTGTTGAGGAGACTGATCCCAAACCATCTGAACGTCCTGGAGGCACTCACCCTTCCTCCCGGGCTCTGTGCGTTCCTGGAGAACAATATGGGCTGGTTGTTACAGTCCTGTTTTGGTCCTCAGTGTGGTCCCAAGGGAGGACAGAAACGGTCCCGGGACGATATGGAGAATGATTCCGAGAAGGAAGCTAGTCCGCCTGGAGTCAAACGGGCCCGAGTGGAAGCCACTCAGTCCTGACAACAGCCGTCTGCATGGAAAACTTGGGCAGCATTTTTGACTGATGTCTTTACAAATGTTGTTAATCCTGTATTAAGATGGCTGTTGTCTTATTCCAGGCTGCATTTTGAGTGATTGATAGTCAGATGGGAACAGAATCTTTCTGTAACAGGGATTTATCGAGGATTACTAACAAAGTGCCCTTGTCTGGCAAATTGGGAAAAATTGTTATTTTGTAGTCCATTGTTTGCCATGTTCCACATCAGCTTGTAATCTGTTGTATATCTGTACCAGGGATTTATCTAGGAAACCAAACTAAGTGCCCTTGTCAGGCAAATTTGAAAAAAAACATTATTTTGTTCAAAATTGGCATTTTGTTCAGAACAACAAAATTGGCATTTTGTTCAGAACTTATTACTTTCCTTAAGTTCAGAGGTACATAAACATTGCATTCTTTGCAATAATGTTTATCATAGCATTACAGCATCTTCCTCCATATTGGTCCTGTTATGAGGGACAAGACACCTCTACCAAGCCACATCATTAGTTGAAACCATACCAGCATGAACTGGAGCATGTTTAATTCCAATTTTGGAATTTTTCTGGGACATTTGCGGCAGACTTGGGGATGAATATCGTCCTCTGAGCAGGTCTAGATAAATCCCTGTGTAAAGATGTTCAACTATGTGCAGTAATTTCAGATAATAATAGAAACATTTAGATAATAGACTGTGATCAAGGATTCCAGTTCTTGAAAATACTGCAATACCATTTCCAGAAACAATCATAGTAAAAAAACTATTACGGCTGTTTATTCTCTATGGTATCATGTTTGTCTTTAAAAATGCTTGGGCGGTGTGATATCGGCCACTGACAGTGTGGATCAGTTTCCATCATCAGTAAGTTTATATATAAGAGATATGATCTCTTGTCTTATTGCAGTAATCATTGACAGCTGTTATGTATTAGGAAGTACTATTGCTTCTGCCCTGGAAAGCTGAGAATTGGTCTTCAGCATCCCATGCTTGTTGTAAGAAACGACCAACAGGATTGATTGCTGAGACCCACTGACTTGGTTGATGCATGTCATCATATTCCAATTGAGTAGATTGATGCTTAAAATGTCAATCACTGGATTGTCTGGTCCAGGCTTGCTTATTTACAGACCGCCATCATACAGCTAGAATATTGCTGAGTGGGCGTTAAACAACAAACAAACTATTGCTCTTACAGTATTGGTTAAAAGAGAGCTTAACTTTCTTATTATCAAAAGAGTGCTATGCTTTAATATTCTGAATCAAAATGAAATGATGCATTTTACAGACCCTTTGATGTTTGACCAGTAAGAATGTGCAAGGACCAGTAGATAATTCTGTGAATATAAATAATACAGGGTACTGGATTTTACTTCTCTACAGGAGTTCTGGTCTTTTGTCAGCTACAGTAATCTTGTGAATGGAGTCTTGATTCAAACCATCTTTAGCATGTTTAACATTGAAATGGTGCTCGGTAAGCATATGAACTGATGGCCAAAAGAAACTTACTTATACTTTTATATAACTCTATTTTAAAAACCAGAAAAGATACATGCATGAAGTATAATGTATTCAAAAGATCAAAATCTCAATGAAATCAACAGCATCCGATATTGGCATGACATTTGCTTGAATTGAGGTGGGAAAGCAGAAACAAACTTTTAACGGAATGGACGAAGGGCACACACTTCTAAAATTGCTCAAGTTCAATGACACGTTGCATTAATAGTGTGTATGACCACCCCCTTTTGTAAGATACGCAAAAGCTGTACGACTCACAGAAAAAGTGTGAATACATTGACATGGAATACATCGCCCTTCTTCTTGGAGAGCCTGGATCAGTTCTTGCCAGTTGGCTGGAGGATGTGGTTGCTGTCAAACATCAAGATCCATGACCTCCCAGAGGTGTTCTATGGGGGACACGGCAGCATGTTGACGTTGTTGGCTGCAAGAAAGTTCTGTATGATTTGGGCTGTATGGGGTCTGGCATTGTCATGCTGATGAAGGACACCACATGACAGCTGCTGTAGAAATGGTAGGACAATCGGACGAAGAATGTCATCCTTGTAGCGCTCAGCTGTCAAATTTCTGTTACTGATGACCAGTGGTGTTCTCTCGTACCTACAAGTTCTTCCCCACACCATAACACCCCCTCCACCATACGGCTCGACCTCCTGAACACTACATGTCGCCGTTCATGCTCCCCTTGAGTAAACTTAAGGAAAATAAGCTATCGTCCATCAGCTCTGAACAGAAAGAACCGGTTTTCATCAGTCACATTGCTGCCAACAACGTACAGTATAGGCCCATTTCAATCTCTGATGAAGATGTTGCGCTGTCAATAATTGTCCTCTGTCAGATCTGTGTCGCTGATGACGTCACTGTCAGGAATCAATTCCGGAGATGCAAGTACCGGCCTTCTTTAGGCAGATTTGCCCTGGGTCTGCCAGTTCTTGGCCTGTCTGATGTCTGCCCGGTTTGTCTGTAACATTGTATCAGGTTAGTTAAAGCAACCAAAAGTACTAGCAATGTGGGCATGGGTGGCTTCTATCTGTATCAAACCCAGGGCCCAATTGCGTTGTTCATGTCAATCATGGGATTTTTGTGGTGAATGTCTGACATGCCATCCGTACCATTTATATACCCTCATTGCATGTTTAGTTTCGGCTGTTTTTCACTTTTTCACATCTACAAAAAAATGTGCCGTGGATGTGTTTCGCTTTCTGGATAGAGCATTGTTGTGTTTGGACGATGTGTTATGCATTGATTTAGTTTGAACTTGTATTTTTTAAATTTTTGCAATTTCTTTTGGCCGTCAGCTTATATGGGTTTGTAGATTCCAGAGGACTAGTGTGAACGGACTGTAAGTAATACATTCTGGGTTTTCAGCATTAATAGGCGGTCCTGGGTGACTGCTGTACCAACCATGTGTGATGTCTTATGCTTATTATAGAAATAGATTTCCTTGTTTAGATCGGAACTTAGTGATTGAGTGAAGAAAATATTACATGGACTATCTCAAGAATGATTGTATTTCTTATGAGTACAGAAATATCAGGTAAATCTTGTGTACATTATTCAATGTAATTAGTTTCAGTCATTCCACTGTCTATGCTCTTCTGCGTCTAATAGGACTCGCAGTGAATGTTATTTGAATCCGTAGTTAATTTGGGTTAGTTATTGCCCTCATCCCTTATTTGGGAGTAGGATGGAGCGAATCTGGTATGACCCATCTGATTCATCTATGTTGTAGGTATGACTTAAACAGTGCTTCCATTAGGTAGAACACATTCTCATGGAAACCACATGAGACGTCATGGTTGTCAAGGCAATTACTATTAAATAGTTTTTGACAGTTTATCTATGGGTTTGTTTGATATGACCTTTCTGTTAAATTACTATTTTGATAAAATAAAATATCCAAACCAGGATTTTAATAGTCCAACCTTACTATCATGCCAAACTCACAAACATCATGTGTAACTTAGACATTATTAAACTCATTTGATCCAACAATTCAAGGACAATTTATTTGTCTTCTATATATGTTTAATAACCTCTTTACGTACTGTGATATAATGAAATACAGTTCAAAATTGTGTTAAACTGTCAATTTTTAGTGTTGTCCATCCTGCCAAATTTACAGAATAATTGTGACCAAGCATGTCATTATATCAAGGTTTGACTGTACTATTTTCAGTATTATTCACTATTTATCATTGTCGATTTACTGCTGAATGGTTACTTTTTTAGCATATTTCACAAAGCTGAATACTGTTTTATAAAAACTTTATTGAGCAGATTAGAATAATATGACGATGTTTTAGATGGATGAGGGAGTCGGGAAGAACTTTGTGCAAGCTGTTTTACAGGCATGGCCATTGTTACAATATGGCTCCAGGAGCATGGTCATTGAGGAGTTAGTTTTGGTAGATCCAACCCAAAAAATGATATTTTTGCTCTTTGCTGATTGACTCATACCTGCATATTTTTCCATTTTTAAATTGTATGTGAAGCAGACCTCACAGGTAATTAATCATGACATCATAGCAGATAGTTCTGGCTGTTTTTATGACAATAGATTGATTGCTGTCTGTGGTTGGCAAACCATCGGTTTTCTGTATTTTCCACAAAGGTAAAGGGTAATATTTGGAAGTACCTGCAGACAGAAATACATGAGGGGGTCTCAGCATCAAATTCACACTTGTGATTCTTAATACTGATTTCTAACAGATAACCCATCATTTCCTTGTACTGTATTGTTTATTTTCTAACTGTATGTCTTCCTAAAATTTCTCTTTTGTTTTTTCTGATTCACTGTGCAGAGTTGCGTCCCTTGGGCACGCCAGAAACCTATGATTGTGGGTTCGAATCCAGGTTCTCCCCGATTATGTTTCTAGGTTTGTCAGAACCATACCCGTGGTCGTGGGTTTCACTGAAGTGTTAAACATCTGAGACCTGCATCACTTCGGGCTTACCTCCCACATTAAGCTGACACGCCGCGATATAACTGGAATACTGTTAAAAGCGGCGTTAAACCCAACTCACTCACTCACTCTGTCACCACTAGTTGAAACAAGAAATGGAAACAAATACTGTTCTTTTCCTTCCTGTATATATAGTGTTGTGAAATAACCATGATGGTCAGTTGTCTTCTTTATTAGTGTGTGCATTTTACCTCTGGCCTGAAGCCCTAGTCTAGCTGATTAGTCAGGCTAAAAGTACCAAAAGACAAGGATACAATGATAGTAATACAGATATGCTAACCAGTACAATCTTAGTGGAATGATTACAGTAATTTGGACCAAATTCTTCCAAGTTAAATTTGCATTGAAAATACCAGTACACTAGATAATGACTGAACTGTAAAGATCTGGGTTAGAATAGGTCTTCAGCAAACCCATGCTTGTTGTAAGGGGCAACTATGCTTGTCATAAAAGGTGACTAATGGGATTGGGTGGTCAGCTCGCTGACTTGGTTGATGCATGTCATCGTAGCCCAATTGCCTGGATCGATGCTCATGATGTCAGTCACTGGATTGTCTTGTCCAGACTTGATTATTTTCATATAGCTGGAATGTTGCTGAGTGTGGCGCTAAACAACAAATAAACAAACAAAGATACTGACCTCACTGCAGTCATTGTGACATGTGAAATCAATTAATAATCAGTTAATAATCACTTGTTTTCGAATGTGATGGTGGCAGTGGGGTAATCTAGTGGTTAAAGCATTAGCTCATCACATGGCAGGCCCGGGTTTGATTCCCCGTTGGGTACAATGTGTGAATCTTCGGCTGTTGAGAATCCTCAACTCTTGACATAGCTCCATTT